TATATATATATGTATATGTATACTATGTATGAGAATATATATATATTTTGTGGTAGCCATAAAAATAAATAACAAAATAATAAAAGCAAAACGAAATCAATTTATTCATTTTACTTACGTGAATGAGTATAAAAACGATAAGCGAAATCATACAATAAATGAAAATCTCTGAAAAATTAAAAAAAAAAAAAAATTCAAAGTTGCCTCAAAACTAAAAATTAATGAATGTTTGGGTATTGTAATATAAATCATTTGGGTAATCAAAAACAAATCAATATGAACCGTTAGTACAGAAAAGGAATTTAAATTTTATTAAATTGATTTAACTATGTGGAATTATAATTATACATTACACAAATACAACAATATTTGTTGGAATTATGGTTTTTACACAAAAATGTCCTTAAAGTATTATTATTTCTGTACATCAAACATTTTTTAGTTGTTTTCTATAATTCTGTTGTCCAATTAGAGTTTCTATAAATTGAAAACTTTAAATTACAGCTCGCATATAACTGTTAACCGTTTGATTCCTTAAGCTCAGTTCGCGAAATCAGTCCAAAAATATCATACTTCGTTCTCCCTTTCACGTCCTAAGCAAGAAACTTTGTCTCTTGAGTTGAGCTTTCGTGTGCCGCTCTTTTAACGAACTGAGTCAGTTAGTGAGCGAATTGCTCAAAGAGTCAATGCAATTGGTCTTCATAGTCGCATACATATGCACACAGTCACGCTATTGGTGTGCTTAGCGAACACAGCCTAAGCATACTTACACACACAAATTACTGCATTCCACTCAACGAAACGGTTGAGGAACAGTCAGAGCGAAACAACAGAAACGGTTATTAACCGATCGCAAACGAAGTCGCTAATGAACCGATGCAATCGGCAGCTCTCTGAGTTTTTTCTCAAAGTTAGAGTGAAAGACACTTATTTGCAGACACCGATAAGCGGTTAACAGTGATTTGCGGGCTATGGCTTTAACATAAAATGTTCTCTGTCAGAGAAGTTTTGGTCTCAACTTCTACAAAATTTATAAGCTCGATCAAGTGTTTGTCTTATTTAATATATTGAAAAAAAAAAAAAAAAAAATTAAGGAAAAGAAAAACGAAATTTCATTATGAAATTGTACTTAATAAGCAAGATTGTATCATTTATGAGCACCAACAATAATCATCAGATTTAGATGATAATAATCTAGTTCTTGATCTTCTTTCCGTATTTTAAACATGAATGAATTTGCATGTACTAGAATTCTCATGCAAAACGTGATATATGTAGATAATTGATGTACTATTGATGTAAACATATTAGAGAGATTATATTTAGCAAACGCTACGGAATGTACATACGTATGTATGTAAAGAGATCTGATATACATACACACATACATATACATATATACATACATACAAACTAACATGAACATGAAACCACCTTGATACGTGCACTATATCCAGTGTAGAATTATGCATATTCATAGTACTATACTTAGTACAGTGGACAGCCAATAAAACGAACGAACGAATGCACGTCACATCACAATCATACCAGGATTATAATGTTTGAAAGTTGTGTTAAATGCATGACAGACGCTTAGTTTGCAAATGGAAAATTAAATTTAAAAAAAATGTATGTATATACTATA